CCCCCCCCCAAACGTCTACAGCTCTTTGGGATGGTTCCGAGGGCTTCTCTGTCAGAATTGGAGGCAGCTGGACGGCATTACTGTGAAGATGATTGGCATAAACTAAGAGATGAACATGAGGGCATTGATGAGATTGATTTGTTGAAATACTGCTTCTCTTCTGCATACATTGTAGCACTGGTGCATGATAGCCTTGGAATCTCTATGGATGATAAGAGGTATGCTAGCTAAGATTTTGTTGCTTGTGAATATATGACTTGTATCTCCTGTTTAAGAATTTTGGAACTAATATTTTTTCTGCAGCACTTAAATAGAATGCAGTATTTCACAAATTTGTAAGCTTTACTCATTAGATAAAGATATCCATACCATGACAAGTCATCAATAAAGGTGATGAAGTAGACATCCACTTCCTACCTTTACATTCATGGAATACATCTATATGTAGCAAGTCTAATGTTAACTTGGATCTTTAGGATTTTCCTATAAATGGCCTCTTTGCCATCTTGCATTGTATGCAAGGTACACAATCTAGCAGATCTTCTATGATTAGAAAATCTAAAGGACCAGTGTTTACCAATCTTGTGATTCTTTCTATGCTAACATGGCCAAGTCTGAAGTGCCACAAGTAACTAGGATTAATGGTTCCACAAGTTCTCTTCATGGGAAGGGTACTTGAAGAATGCTTAGTAATATTCATCTTTGAGGATGAGGAACATAGAGACCATTGTCCATATCCCTAGATGCAATGAACTTGTTATTCAATCTAATAGTAATCTTATCACCACTATCACTATCTAACTTTGACACTAAAATCAAATTTGTCCTAAGTTGCAGAATGAAAATATATTCTTTTAGAATTAAAACTCCTTGAAAACTAATTCTATAGTCCTATAGTTACAGCTACAACGGTTGCAAACGTTCCCATGTAGAGCACCACTTTGCCCTCAACGGTTGCAACGGTTGCTTTCCTTCAGAAGGCTTGTTCTTTCTGGATTCTAGGTACTACGGGCAGTCCCTCTTCCCTTGTCCTGTCTGCTTGCAAAAATAATACCAGTTTAACAATTTGTCTCTCTGTTTCTTGGGTTTAGGTAAGGACCTCCCTTGCTTTTTCTTCTTATTTTCGTATGACTTCTTGCCACCTGCAACAAGCATGGTTGCAGGCTTTTCCTTCGTAATCAGTTCCTCAATTCTTTGCAAAATATTGTTGAGCTCATATAAGGTGACTTTCATCTTATTATTTTTCTTAAACTTCAAAATTTACTCCCAGTGGATGGGTGGCCACCATTAATTTATTAGTAAAGAATTATAATAATCCTAAGAAGGGGCGACATAAAAACCTTATCCCTCTAAAAAGCTATACACCAGGGTTCAGCTCAGAATATGTACATAAAAATAATGTATGAAGCTCCTAAAAGGCTGAAACATCAACGGAAATGAAGAAAAGGCATACTTGTACCATCATCTCTCTATTTCTTTCTAACAATCATTGGAGGTCCTCAAGACAGTAGTTATAAAAGGTCTCTCCATCACCATATTTTCTCTATTCTGTGATCAATCTTTAAGTTATTGATTTCTTAAACTATCGCTTAAGTTCTTAAATATGTTTTGTAATACCAAATTCAGGATGCATGTTTGGTTTGGCCATGTCAACGGCACTCTCCAATTTATATACGCTCGCTATAAATAGCTTGCAATTTTGTCACTTCTATCTCTAATATATATGCTGTTGGACGCTAGTCTTTTTTTTTTCATATATGAATTAAGATTATCTTGGCCATAGGTTTACTTGGTGGTGACACTCTACTTCCAAGTTAAATAGGGTAAACATGCCTACTGTATTTATGTTTAAACCTTTTGTTTAATGGATTGACTGAACCTTGCATTAAGAGTAAAAAGAGGAAAAATGAAGATCTTAATTAGAAAGCCTTATCAAAGAGTTGTTGTTTTCCTTTTAAAAATCAAATTGAAGAAGAAACTTTGCAGGATTGGATTTGCAAATCATGGTGGAAGCATCCCTCTTGACTGGACCCTCGGTGCTTTCATCCTCCAGACGGTGGTTGAGCCCCTTGAACTAGAACCAGAAAATCTAGGACAAGTTGTTGGGAATGATTCAGTTGCGTACCTCACATTGTTTATCGTTCTGTTCTTAGCTATCCTTGCTGCATTCTATGTAACAAAATGGCAGAAACCACAATTGAAAACAGTATATGACCTGGAGAAAGGGCACTACATTATAACTCGTGTGCCCAGGTGATTTGTTGTTTTAATTTTTTTCTTTGTTTTTTTTTTTTTTTTACATGTTAAGTACATGTAAATGTAATAGTTAATAGATTAGTTGAAGAATCCTCTCTGGAAATATGGAAGAGGGGAAAAGGAAGGGAAATCCCATTTTTTCAGCTCTTGCGGTTGCATTACTTGTCTGAAATTTTGCTCCCTCGTAAGAACTTAATGTGAGTACGCTAGAGTTTGGCAAACAATCGCTATTCATGGGTTTAAGTTCTAGTATTGAGCTATGTGGGCTATCCCGGCCACTCCCTGCGTTCTATATTTCTTGCCATGGTTGGAATGACAGGTTTCAGAAGATTTCAGGGAAGAATACTGGAAATGATGACTTTCTCTGTTATCATATTTAATGATACAACATTATCTTCTGCAAGAGATCGGCTTCCATCAGGGCAAACCCTACACCGTTCTAAGTTCTAACAGCCTTTTGCAATGTTGCATTGGGAATATCTCTCCATGAAATAAAGCAAGATCTTCTCAATGCAAGGCAGTAAGGGCTGCTCGAACGGGCTTTGCCCTGACTGAAGCCAAAGTCCTGCAAACACCCAGTTTGTAAAACCTATATATACACAATTTTTTGAAAGTTCGCACGTTCAAGGTATCGATTCTCTGGATATGCAAAAATGTTTATAGTTATTATACATGATACCGGAAAAACTATTGAACAGGTATCATGAAATCCAATCAGGTGATAATGTATCAAAAAATAAAATAAAATAAACCAGGAGGGTTGACTGGTCAAACCCTTCCAGTATAGATACTTTGAACCATTTGTCACATATATATATATGTCAAATCCAATCACGTTAGATGGCCTTTTCATGCTCTATTACCCCCAATAGAGCAATTCCAGAGGAGTGTAAGATTCCCTCTAGAAGACCATGGAGTTGCCACTTGGCATGGCAATCTCCCCCTTTTTGCCCCATTAACTTAAGAAGAAAATCCACCAACTTTATTTTAGTAAAAAGCCCATTTACTTAGGAAATCTTTTCCTATGATCTCTCTTAAAATCACTCTCTCTCTCTAGTTCTAATCTTTTTTGTGAAATATTTTTTATATTTCCAATAATTATTGATATTATTTAATATTATTTAGTAAATATCAACACCTAAACTATAATTTTTTTAATTTTGGTAAATTGGAATTTTTAATTACTAAAATTTACATGCTGAAATTTACTGATTTTGATAATTTAATTACAGAATTTTTTGAAAATTAATTAGTGAAATCAATAATTACTGAAAATTTGATGATTAATTAAATATTAATAAATAAAAATTTATCCATTAAAAATTTATCGGTAAATTTTCATTGAAAATTTTATTTCAATAAATACAAAGTTATTTTTTTACATTTCAGAAATTTTGATATTATCAATAATTTTTTATTAATATTTTTAGTATTTTTGGTCAATTTATTAATATTTAATGATATTATCAGATAATAATTAAAAATTTTTAGTAGTTTATTTTATAGTGGAATTAATTTCATTAAATATAAATCTATTTTTTGTAATTTTGATATTTACTATAACTTTTTAAGCAATAATTAGTGATTTTGGTAATTTAATTTAGTGATAGTTAAATTCTAAAACTTCTAATTATTCAAATATATAATTAGAAAATTCTAATAATTTCCATAAGTATTGGATACTACATGTATAATTACCATAATTATTGGAAATATATTTATGGGTTTGGGGGATGACCCCCTAGATAGGAATGCCTAGAGGTGTAAATCAGGTTGTGTTGGGCCGGCACAAAACGTCCCACATACAGCTTGCACAAAGAGCAGGCTGAGTCGGGTTATACTTCCCTCCCCTAGGGTAAGTTGGTGGGTCGGCCTAGTATGGTCCACAGCCCAAGCCGATTGGAATCACTAATTAATTTTCATTTAAATTTGAACAATACAATGGTAAAAAAACTACTTAACAATAATACAATGGTCAAAACTACTTAACAAAATGGAATAAAATATAAAAAAAATATAATACAATTGCAAATTGAAAATAAAAATTTACATTGCTAAAACAATAGCAAATAATTTAAATGAAATTGAATAACAAAATGTACAATAATTTAAAAAAAATGCTACAAAATTATTGAGTATATAAAAAAGAATATTGATTTCATTTTTCTTCAAGTTCTACTTGCATCTCCATCTTGATTTTGATTATCTGCTTCAAGTGAATAATCAAGTGTAGTGTCATGCCCTCCTTTGTCTTGTATTCTATCCTCAACATGCAACCAATCTTTAAAGTAGATGTACATCTCCAAACTTTCATCACTCATGTAGCTTTTTTTGTCAACCAGCACCCTAGTACCTGGATTAAAATAAGACTTCGACGGAACTATAGACACCGGATCGGTTAATAGATTACATGTCATGGTAGGAAGGACTGGATAAGGTTTTGCATATCCACTCTACTAGGCTAAAATATCAAAATTATTCATTCCCTTCGAATCAAAAAATTACTTAAACTAGAAAAATTTGTTTGTAAAGCAAAATTAAGTTTAATAAATGAACTTATTGATGAACTGGCAACAGATTTCTGCCTCCTACTTAATAGAGACTGATGATGCACGATCCGATCGGTCCTAGTTGCCAATAACCTTGCCTCTGATGTAGCGGGAGATGCCTGAAACAGGGAGGAAACAAGAGATTCTCGGGGGAGGAACCCGATGGGAATGCTCCGACGCTCAAGTTAGCACTCTTGAGAAAGCAAGGAAGATGAGAAATTCTCTTAGACGAGAAGGCGCAAAGTATCACTTACCTTTACTCTAGGGGGAAGAGGGCCTTTTATAACTGCCCTGAGCACTCACTCCCAAGCCTTTGCCAGATCAGGTGTAACCGCCTCTGCGGGGGGCAGACATAACCACAATTGTCTTCCCTGTCATAGCCGTCTCTGCAACAACTGAGATGGTGGTAGCAGGTGGCCGTTGGAGTGCGTCTGTCACGTGTTAGATCCCTGATCAATTAGGCGCGCCGCCTCAGAGTACGGACTTCTTTGGTGTCAGGTACGGTCGTTCAGTCATGCGACCTGGAGGCGAGGTACCGGAGTGATGCACGAGGTGAAGTCTTGAGCTTGGACAGGAGCGTGGCCCGGACTTACCCGAGGTGGATTAGTCCAGGCTTTGCCTTTCGTGGTGTTCCTTGCAGGGCTCGGGATTTCTAAGGAAAGCTCGGGTTCTACCTCCCGGGAAGTGCGGGTTCTCTTTTGGAGAGCTCATTGCCTCTCCTTGGGGAGCTCGGGCCTTCTTGGGCTATGGCTATGTCGTTGTGTCGAGCTGACACTCTTGCCAGGTCATACCCGGTTGCCTCCACGTGTCGCGCGGCCAAGGGGTTGCGCCAAATCTCCCTCCATCAATTTCCCCCCACTCCCGGTGCGGGGAGTTCACGGGATGACGGATGGATTTGCCTCGTGGCATGCTTCGTCCAGCTCGGTCATCCTCCGGTCTGACCCGCCTATGCCTTTGGCTCGATCAGGGTTAGCTCGGCTTGATCAAGGGTCAACCTGGGTCGCGTATAGCTCACGCGCGGACGTCAAACGATTATTAGTTTTTGGACGTCAAAAAATCGCGCTAAACTAATTTCACCTCGGGGGTCGTGCAGCCGGTTTTTCTGAGATCCATTGGATGGCTTTGATCTTGGCCGTTGATGCACAGGTACAGCGGCTATAAATAGTGGGGGTCTTGGTCACTTTTCCCTCGCCGTAGTCTTTAGCACTTATACTTTGAGCTCGCGTCCAAGGTCCTCAGCTCGCGTCACTTCTCCTAGTCTGGTAGCTTTTCCTTGGTGAGTCCCCTTAGCTTCTTTTAATTCTTTTCCTTTCGATGTCTAGTTTGGGTAGCTTAGATAGTCTTTTGGGAGAGCCTGAGGTGGGGACCTCAGGTCGGGCTGCTTCTTTCGACAACCTTCTGGATGAGCCGAAGGTAGGACCTTCAGTCCGGGTCACCTTTGGCAGCCTGACATCCACTTCTCGTTGAGTTCGGATGCCAGATAAATTTGGACCTTCCACTATGACGTCTGAGAGACTTCGGTCTCTGGTTCGTCAGTTCAATCTGCCCGGGGAGTACACCTATAGTTTACCTACGGGCGACTTCCCTTGGGAGTACGGTCCGGATGAGATCGTGATTTTC